TCTTTCCACAGCCAGAAGTAAAAACTGATTAAAACCATGGATTTATTTTTTTCATAGGACACACCAATTACAGTGAAGTGAAAAGATTTTTCCCATTTGAATCCAGAAACCTGCTTGTCAGGAAAATGCTGTAGTAGTGTCAAATCAATAAGCACAGCTTGCTCTGTGTTTTTACATTCTCTGCACTTTACGCACCAAGATGCAGAAACTGGTTGCAATACCTCACATAAACTAATAGCTGTCCAAAGTAATACTTTAGCTCCTATAAGCATAAAATGCACCATATCTGTCATGGCTTTGACATCCATCACACACAGTAGGTAAATTCTGGACACTGTTTTCCTTGGGATAGAAATATGCAATAGCCTTTGCAAAATGCTCACCATGTAATGTATCCTCCTGTGAAAAAATAAATATGTTTTTCACTGTATGCCCAATAAATAAAAACAATTTGTCTATTAGAATTCTGAACAGCCTTCTCTCACTCGTAAGTGTTCTTATGTTCTTTTACAGGACATGTTTTACATGTTTACATGTTTTAACAAATCCTATGTAGCAGACCTCCTCTTTCATTATCTAATATAATGGACTAAAGATGTGAATAAAACATCCCTTATTTCACTGCTGCTTCACTGCAGGACAGCAGATACAAAGTTTCAATCACCCTACAATCTCCTGTGAAAATGATTACATTCATATAATTGTGGCATTCTCATTTTATTTAAAATGTTTAATAATGATATAAGCCATTACATTCAACCCTATTTCCTTACATTATTTTATTGAGTTAAAAATAAATAAATATGTAAATTTTAAAAAAATCTTGCAGTGTAAAATAACAATAACAGCAAATGTTCTTCAAGCATGTTTTCTTGTAATAATGGCGCTGTCGAAGAACTGTTTCAAAATAAGGTGTGATTTAATCTACCAGACCACACACAGAGAAATTTGCTTTGTTCACACAAGAAGCAGATTTTATTTTTTGAATAAGATCTTCTCTTTAATTTTTACGCATGCCAAATTAAAAACCGAATTTTATTTGATTTTTGTTTCAAACCTCATTAGAAGCAAAGCAATCTTGAATAATAATACATGCAAAAAATAAAGGCATTGTGAAGGATGTACAGCAATATTCTTGTGTAACTTAGATGCAATGTACAATAACCCTTCCAGCCTTCACATGTCATGTTTAACACACAAGACTTTTGAAGTGGACTTAAAAATGACCTGAGCAATCTGTTATATTTTAAGAAGGGAACTATTTCTGCCCATGATAATCATCCTACATCTGCAACAATGAATAAAATGCAGATCAAGTCAGAACAGGTCCGGAGAATGAAAGTGAAATACCAGTGTATTGAGTTACGTGAGACTATCCTTGCTGTGTGCCTTAAAAAGGCAACTCAAGCGCAGTGACAGTCGGGCTCTTCAAACATGTGCTCCAGATTCTATAAAGCAGATGCTGAATCAAAGACTAGGCACTTACACCTCACCTTGTCTACCCTTTCTCTCAGTCTAGGCCCACTCCAATATCCTAAGTCTGGAACCACTGATACAGAACATAGGGGTGATGAAGAATCACACACAGGTATCACACACCCCTTCTTTATGCCTTCCCTTTGAGGAATATCACCCACTCTAGTCCTGTTCTGCAGTCTTAAATATCTGTCACATGTTTTTATTGTTCTCCAGATCTGATTAGTAACTGATGCAGCAGGAACCAGTACACTGGTGCTTCACAACTTCACAGAGTGGTTACATAGTGTCACAGATGACTGTGCTGGAAACATGCACAACATATAATGTTCTGTAGGTACAGCCAAAGGCTGCTATCAGAGGAAGATTGAGGTGTTAATTCTCAAGTGTCTCATAGACACCCTGTAATATCTCTTTAAGACCCATAATTTACATTTTAAGATTCAGATGGGCCTGACTTTGGAGGGTCTTTGGTGATATTAATTGCAGCTTTTGAGGTGCAGAAGGGGTGGCTAAGTTATGTCAGGTTAGGTCTACTTTCATGGGGCTTTTCCATAAACCATTTTAATTTGGTGTATTAAGGCAAGTAGGTGCTTAAGAATTCATTCCAAGCCTTTAAGAAGACCAAGTAGCATTAAATCAGGCCTATATTATGTGCTGATTTCTTAAGCAGGGCACATAAGAATTACAACAGTTTTCCTACTCCCAAATAGATGGCACTAACTCATTGTTAGTATAGATGGCTCCATACTGAGCCAATATATTTTGAAGATGATAGCTAAATAATCAGTATTTCGACAGTAGTGGAATTATTGTCCATGACTTAACTGTTTATAAAAATATAAACATATTTCTTGAAAGAAAAGGTTTGGAGCTAGAATAATTTTTTTCATTATTGTCATCAAAGTAATATAAAGCAGGAATGTTAATTATTCAGCATCTGAATCAAATAAATGACATCTGAATGAATACTAAATAGAAATACTAACCAAGATTAGACCATGATAATAAAACGTTACATTCATATGACATTTCAGTTTATGGATTGAATGTCCAAGCATGTAGGCAAATGCCACTTTTAATAGAAGGAACAAGAATTCACTAAAATATTTTATAAGTGCAACAAATTGTATATATACCAGGTGTTAAAACTTAAGTTACATATTGTTTCACATATCAGCAGGCTATCCAAGCAAAGTGAGGTTAAGTGCTTGGTGTGTCAGGCTGAGGAGGGTCAGGTGCAGAAGCACACTTTTAGCCCTCTGAGCCAGTAATCGTGGCTCCAGAAGGCACCCATTTGAAGGCTGACTGATCACAGCCTGCCAGCCACAAGTTCAATAGGCTGTAATTGTTGGTCACCAGCTCAGCACTCTCCCTCTGTCACCCCCAATTTAACACTCAATTTAGTCATTTTGATTACACACCACTAACAGATGTTTCAATTAATCCAGTTTAATAGCCATGGCTTCCCAGTTCTCCCAGTTTTCCTATTTCAAATATTTGTCAGACTCTTATGGAAATCACTTGTTAAAATACTTCTTAACCTCCTGGTTCCCTGACTTAACCATGAAAGAATTATATGTGAAGTTTTACTAGACGTGAACTCAGCATGTAACCTAACTATCAAGTGAAGTGATTATTTCACAAATCTCCTGCATTTGAGACTAAATAAGATATTTACACATGTATTGACACCAATGGCACTAGAAACACTCAGACGCTTTTATCAGAAAGACTGATTACTGTGTCACTCTCACTCATTAGCATGTGTTTTGGATTCACACGTGGAGACAGCTAGAACGCACTGAACAAAAGGCACCTTTAAGAGTACATCTCTACAATTGCTCATGAAAATACCAAAGGCATAGCTGTCTTCCTTTCTATTGAATAAAACAGTGTATTCAATGTAAACAATTCATATCCCAACCTTTTTAACGTACAACAAAATAGTATATACTGTAGGTGTGTATCATGTATCAGACCAACTAACCAACATAATGATTCTTAATAATATTTCTTAAGGATGTAAATAAAATGGAGTTGTATGTTAAGGGCTGCATATGTATGTCTAACTTTAGAACGACCAGATCGTTGTTGTACAGTATATGGAAACACATTCAGCACTGCACTATGGCTGTCTTGTCATCTTTTATCTTGACATTGGATGGCAGCAGCGAGTTCAAGATGCCTCAATTTACCTTATTTTTGTTTTTATGCAAACTGACAAATGAAATTACTGAACATTGCGCTGCTTTTATCTTCAGGGATCTGTGCTGTTTTATTTCTTAAAATGTAAAATATTATAATTATAAGGCTAAAAATGACTCTGTTGAAAATCTACATTTTATAGGGTAGGCTTAAAAATGTAAATGAAAATTCTGAATAGCGAAGCCACATGTAAATTAACCATTAACTGCACACTGTACTATAGACAGTGAGAGAAAACTGAATAGAACATCTTCTACTATATCAACTTAAAATTTATTCATTTTTTACACAATGACCGTTCTTTTAAAACGTTTCAGATTGCACCTATTTCATAGAATGTCTCATTTTATTTTTAAAGGCAAATATGTTGGTCTCACGTGATTTAAATATGTATATTACAACCACCAGAAAAGCACATTACTTTGAATTACATAGCTCCTGGTTTAATTGTTAATTTTATTTGTGCACTTAAATCACTTGAAACAATAGTGTACCAGTATCCATAGAATTCAATTGCTCAGTTAAAGCCTCCTTCCGCAAAACATAAAACCATGGGTTTCTGGTTGCCTCAGGCGTCTCCTCCTTTTTCTGTTTTCTTATTTTCTCAGAGTTATTCTGAATAAGAGGAAGGATGCTGCATCCATGATACAATGCATACTAGAATATTTTTTTCTGAAAATAAACTTTATTAATTGTTTTTAGCTAAAATTTAAACAAGGTGTAATCATGTGAATGTAACCAACTTTTTCAAATGAAGCATAACGTCTGAGGCTGGACTTTTTACAAATGAACCTCTAACAGAAAGTATATTTTTTAAATAAATATGATTTTAATGATTCTGCAGAATATTAAGGAGATCATGAAACTTTACTGTTATTTTATTTTTTACTTCTGTACAATGTGTGAACACTAAAGGGTATCACAACACCCTTACCATTCCATGGACTAACACCACACCTTTGATTGGTTTTCAGAAATCTTGTCAATTTAAATGTCATTAAAAAGCTTTTAATACAGCATTGGAGCTACTAACATCATGGTGATGCCCACTTTGTCAGCTGGCAGGGGGGAAAGCACAATTACCCCTCCTGTTTGTTCAGCACCTTGGAATTCTTTGAGATGAAAAGCACTACATAAATTTAAAGGAATTATTAAAATTATTATTAATGGAGTGTGCATAATTACTAATTACTAACTATAATTACTAACAACATATTTATTACATTTTAGTTACTAAGAGAATACTTTTCATTGTGTCAATGCATCAGAGATAACAAATCCTGAAACAAGTGGGGAACAAGAGCACGGAAACTCACGTGTAACTGGGTATTCCACTGCCACAGCCAGGAGCAAGGAAGCACAAGTGAAAAGAAAGGAGAATTTGCAGCGCAACAAAAGACAGCAGAAGCCTCCGCTGTCTACAGACTCCTCATGTTCTGCGAAGTAGGAAAAGAATCCTCAAATCCAGGCGTTTTTTCCCCATCTTTCACAGGCTACTGAAGAGTAGCGAGCAACAAACAACATGGACTCCTGAGCTATTGGAGCTTCTGTGTTCAAACTGTTTCTGTCTCAAATCTTTCTCTCCAAATTCAGATGGATCTCAGTTCTCCTCACAAAACAAACACACAGGTTTTTCAACACTGTAACCCTGAGTCAGGCCTGCCTTTGAAAAGCTTTCTACCCCGCAACACAGAGTGCTTTCATTATCTTCACAGTCCCAGCAAGGCCCAGCTTTAAAAGCTACTGATTTCTTTTTTCCTTTAGCCTCCCTCACAAAGGAAGGGCATTTTGTAAATTACTTGCTCGTTTCAGATCAACAAAAGGTACTTTCATTGAAAACCCCATTTGATTTTGCTCAAATTTGATTACAAGGATTGAAAAAGGGAAAGAAGAAAAAAAGAAATAAAAAAACCCAGATGGCGTTTTCATTCAGCTTGCTGAATGAGCTTTATCTGGGCCTTTTTAAACTATAGCAATGCACAAGCATTTCAGCTAACTTAAAAAAAAACACGACCAAAACTATTGGTTTGTCATTTCTCATACAGCTGCCATTGGGAACTCAAAGAAAGAGATTGTATCTCCCCTCAAAGCATCACATGTCTGGATCAAAATAATGGAGATTAGGTATTTTATTATGAATTACAGTCAGATATAGGGTAGGCTGTCATGCTAATAGCAACCTGCTCATAGACTTCAATACAAGCTATTCACTGTCCTCGACAATAGCCCAATGGGCTATATATTGAACTTGTGCTTCAGGCCTGATCAATTTTCTATCATCAAGGCAGGAGACGACTAACAAAGAAACTCACACACATTTGACCTTTAAACTACCCCATCAAAAAAAAAACAATTCTAGCTAAGCTCATTCTCTGCGACAAAATTCATTCTGTGGGGAATGAACTGGACATAGAAGAGACACAGGCTTTGGTGTCTTGTTCACAGGGCATTTCAGCTTCTTGTTTTCTGCTCCAGGTAATTTCAGGGCACTTACAGGCAAAAAGCAGAGACAAACAAACAGTCTTAAAAACCTGAACAAGATAATCCTGGTGCCAGATCATCCTGGTCTTGATCTCATTAACAGAGTACCACAACATTTTATGCTCAAAAAATGATGTTGGACTAATCCTGAAATAGTTTTTCCCAATATGAATATATTGTAGTATTGGTTAGACAGCTATTGAAGTTTTTTTAAATATTTGTTCAGTTATATTTTTTCCCGTTTTCAGCCAGTTGCTAATGGGGTTTAAAGTAGGATTGGAATGATAACCCCTTCACTGCTCATGACCTGCTGAACCCAATTCAAAGATGCCCACACTGCTACAGGATCTGAGAGACAGGGGGGTAACCTTCCAGAATCAGAGTGAAATACTGCAGATTAGGGGAAACCTACAGCAACAGCATTTGGTATTATGGGTTCCTCTGCCAAAGTTCACACTTCCTTCGAAAGGATTTTATTCAGAAATAAACTTTAATTTAGAAGCTAACTTACATGAAGTCTTGAAACTGACATAACTTGCCATTTGCAGATGTTCACGAGTGCCAGTGCAAAAGTTGAGCAGATGAACATAGGGAAAGTATGGCTTGTTATATAACATTATTCTATTCTGGCCATGAACATTAGGAGGACAAGGCACCCTGTGAAAGTGACATAAATGTTTCTGATAGAGAACTATGTTGTTGTGTTCAATTTTAACACCAAAGCAATGTTGGAGAACAGGAACATCATGTGTTACAGTAAAGCAACTTTTTAAATGTTGTAATAGAGATATATAAAAACTGACAGATCCACAGATCCACAGATATATAGATTATGTACAGTATAACAGAACATAAGACACTCTTCATTTAACTATAACTAAATCCAACTACACAAGAAATTATTCTCGAAACAAAAGTCACAGGTGGTTTCGTAGTCTGACAAGACATGCCTGGTCTCATCACAGGACCAGTGGTGACATCAGCCTGTGAAACTAGTCCTCAGAGAACTGCCATTTGTTTAGTGCTATTTCAGCATTTTACTTTGTATAATGAAATAACTGCTGGGGTATAATGTGGGCAGCTGAGCGGCAGGATACAATTTTTTCAAATTTAGCAGTCTTTTACTGAACACTTTAATCATTTGGAAGGACACAAGATTGAAATACAGAATTACTTTAAAATGAATCATCAGTCTATTCATCTTGCACAGACTGAATTCAGATTCTAGCATGTATGCAGGAAACAGTCGCTGTGCAAATGAAATGAACAATTTTCAGTTGTTCATCAGGAGATTGTACTGGAATCCATACTCAAATTTATTCAAGCTTTTATAAGTCTAGAAAATTATTGACAGAAATATTGTGAATAAAACCAATGAATAAATGACTTCAGCTTAATCTTCTTTTAATATACTTTTATGAGTAAACTCATCTGCAGAGACTAATCTTGCCCTGGTACTTACAGTACTGTTTTGTTTTTGTGTAGCAATCCTGTTGAGTTTCTTTATTCTAATTTTATTTATTTGAGTGTATTTATCATATCTATGGTTTCTTTGCCTATCCGTACATTAACAGAAAAACATTTCTGTCTTTTGTACTGTACATGTAATGTAAAATTTTGTATACATTGAGAGCTCTCTTGTCTAAGGGGTCTGCAAAAATAATAAATAAATGCCAACAAGGAAGCAACAATCCATACTTTCAGAACACTGTTTTAACTATCCCTGCAAAATGCAGTCTCTGCTTCCACCTTAAAAACAATCCTTTATACATGGGTTCAAAAATTAATTTGACATTTCAGTTAAAGTCTTCTATCCCACATTATATTCCAAAGGCTTTAATCAATCTTTCCCCTGTGTCACACAAGCTGTAATGATCATTAATCAAAATTAAATAAAGTTTAAGTCATTTCAATATAAACTGTTGATAGGAAGATCTCCTATTATATGTATATATGTAATTTCCTCACATTCCAAATAGACCACTTTATCTGCTCATTTGATAAATTTAGCAGCACTGGTTAAATGTAGATCTGGGCACCAATTCGATTCTCTTTTCTCTTTTTCCAACACTGCTATCTTTGGGAAAAGAAAAAACATATTCAGTGCAATGTTAGATTTATGCGCGTTCACCAAAAATGGGCCCGTCTCACAGCCTCTCCCTAGCAGAGACCTTAAGAGAAGCTTGGGAGTTGGGCTAATTAAATCCTTCCACAACCTCTTTCAGATCACATCTACATGTCAGCATATACAGTATACAAACTCAAATCCCACAAACAGCTGGATCAATGCACCC